ATACCAGGTGCCATCAGGAGGTCCACCAGTGGGGCCAGGACATTACAAGCCCTCCCACTGTTGCCCCCCCAAGCCCAAAAAGACAGAGCATCACTTGCCCCAGAGCCCCTATCTATTGGATGTATGCCATCTGGGCCTGGTGATTTATCAGTTTTTAAGTTGTTTATCAGTTTTAGGACCTCCTCTCTCGTCACCTCAATCTGACTCAGGTCTTTCAACACCCCTCCCGAACTCAGCGGCTCTGGAGTGGGCAAGCACCTCTCATCTTCCACAGTGAAGACGGAGGCAAAAAATGCATTTAGCTTCTCAGCCATTTCCCTATCATCCTTCAGTACTCCTTTTACCCCTTGGTCATCCAAGGGCCCCACTGCCTCCCTGGCTGGTTTCCTGTTTCTAATGTATTTGAAGAAAGTTTTATTGTTGGTCTTTACATTTTTTGCTATATGCTCCTCATATTCCCTTTTTGCATGCCTGACCACAGACTTGCATTTTATTTGCCATAGCCTGTGTTCTGTTTTATCAGCCTCACTGTGACTAGCTTTCCACCGCTTAAAGGAATCCTTTTTACCTTTTACAGCTTCCATTACTTTGTTTGTTAACCATGTAGGCTTTTTCTTATACCTGTTTGTGCCTTTCCTAACCTGCGGAATATATTTTATTTGAGCTTCTAGAATTGTAGTTTTAAACAGTTTCCAAGCTTCCCCAATGGTTTTGACCCTTTCTACTTTTCCCTTCAGTTTCCTCCCCACATGTCCCCTCATATCAGAAAAATTACCCCTTTTAAAGTTAAAAGTGGTTGTGTGAGTCTTTTTGGCCAATTCCCTATTTGTACAAATGTTGAACTCAACAACATTATGATCACTGTTCCCAAGCGGTGCAATCACTTTTACATCTCTCACCAGGTCTTGAGTGTTACTTAGGACCAAATCAAGGATCGCCTCTCCCCTGGTAGGTTCCATGACCATCTGCTCCATAGCGCAGTCATTTAGAGTGTCTAGAAACTCAATCTCTTTCTCTCGACTAGAACACATATTGACCCAATCAATGTGTGGGTAGTTAAAATCACCTATTACGACACAGTGTTTTTGTCTAGCTGCTATCTTTAATTCATTCATCATTTTATAATCCTCCTCTATCTTTTGATCCGGTGGGCGATAACAAACTCCCAGTGTTAAGTTTCCTTTTGGCCCCCCTATTTCAACCCACAGAACTTCAAGAAGCGAATCCAATTCTCTTAGCCTCTCGATCTTTCTGGACTTTATACCCTCTCTGACATACAGAGCCACCCCACCTCCAACCCTTCCCCCCCTATCCTTCCGATATAATATATAACCAGGAATCACTGTATCCCACTGATTTTCCTCATCCCACCAAGTTTCTGAAATACCCACAATGTCTATTTTTCCCTCCAACACCAAGCACTCCAACTCCCAGATTTTACCTTGGACACTTCTAGCATTTGTATAGAAGCAGTTGTAATTTCCCATACAAGTTAAGCCTGCAACCTTCCTCTTGCTATCTCGAGACTTTGTCAGGCAGTCCATGTCACTAGCCATGGTCTCAGTGGACAATTTCAATCCACCTCACTGTAGAAAAGCAACAGGTACCCCCTCATCTCTCTGAGATGAGCCAACCCGAACCAGAGACTTTTCATCTCCTGTTGGCTTTCCCCTCAGTTTGAAAACTGCTCTGCCACCTTTTTGATTTTAAGCATCAGCAGCCTGGTTCCTTCTCAGGACAAGTGGAGACCGTCTCGCCTGTACAGCTCCCTCTTGTTCCAAAAAGCATCCCAGTGCCTAACAAACTTGAAACCTTCCCCCCTACACCATAGTCTCATCCACGCATTGAGACTCCTGATCTGTGCCTGTCTCTCCAGCCCTGCGCGTGGAACAGGTAGCACTTCTGAGAAAGCTACCTTGGAGGTCCTGGACCTAAGTTTCCTGCTCAGCAGCCTAAATTTCTCATCCAGGACCTCACGACTGCATTTCCCCCCATCGTTGGTGCCGACATGCAACAGTGGAATCAGATCCCTATGGAGATGGTGAGCTCCCCCTCACTGGCAGTCTTTAAGCAGCGTCTGGACAAACTCTTGTCAGGGATGCTCTAGGCCAGTGATGGCGAACCTTTTAGAGACCGAGTGCCCAAACTGCAACCCAAAACCCTCTTATTTATCGCAAAGTGCCAACATGGCAATTTAACCTGAATACTGAGGTTTTAGTTTAGAAACTCATACAGTAACATCTTTTGTCTTAAAAGAAAAACACAATAACAGAGCTTTCAATGATACAAACAACTTTTTATTGAAAGGTAAAAGTTTGCATTTGGCATGCTTTTGAACAATTAATGTGATTTTTGCTGTTGTATGCTTGCTGATAATTTGTCTAACTTTGGCTCATACTTTGTAAGTTTGAGAGCAACACATGCAGCACTCAGGTCATCTGTTAGTCTGTTTCTGGTGTCAAATTTGATATAGTTCAAAGCTGAAAACACCTGCTCACAAGCATAAGATGATCCAAACAAAGTAAGGAAAGCAATCCTTCTATCTTCTCAAGTGTTTCACGCAGGTCATAGAATTTAATTTTTCAGATAGACCTTTCTTGAAATTCCAATAGCTCCATTTCCTAAATCTAACCAGTGTAAGCAGGAAAGATCAAGTCTACATACAGCCTTAATGGAGGCCATTATTCAGCAGCAGCTTGTCCCACCAGGAAGAGGCCAGGAGGCGGGCTGGTGAAGGAGGTCCCGCCGAGGGGATGTACTAAAAGGAAGGACAGGATTGCCCTTTGGAAACAATGGGAAACACTTGAAGGCCCATTGGAAATAATAAGGAATGCCACTTGACTTGCATGGGCTCCACTGAAATTACAGTACAAGTAGAATTGCAATAAAAACATGGAATGGCGCCGCAAGGCTGATCCTGCATTCAGCAGGGGGTTGTACTGTATGGCCCCTCCCAAGTCTGTGATTCTGTGATTTTATGATTCTATAAGTTTAACCTTCATTACTAACATTCAAGTGATTCGGGGGGGGGGGACTCATTATTATCCTTTACCCCATACAACTGGGAGAATGAGATAGGGCACTTAAAAAGGAATAAAAGAACATAAAGTGTGCTATTTATAGATGAATGCTTCTTATAGATGAAAAACCACTGGTTTCAGCACATACTGCAAAGTTTTGTGCTGCAGTTTGTAAAATTCGCCAGATACTGATAGCTTAAATTTTTACATGTACCTATTACAGAATTTTAATAATTTTATCTATTGTTTTGTTTAACTTGTACTTCCCTTTGAATTATAAGCTAATTTATGTGAGGGAGCTAATTTTAGTTTTTCTCTTCCCCTTTGTTGTGGTTGGGAATTTTGCTGAGACTGGTGCTGGTCTGTGATCGTATTAATGAAGACTTTGACCTTAAAGGGTGTATGTGTATGTGGAGGGTGTGTTGTGTGTTCAGACAAACTCAAAGTGAATGTAGACATTTTTTTAAAAAAATGTTCAAGGTAGGTAGATCTTAGCTGTGTTTATCTAATGGAGGGTGCAAAAATAATGGGGGCAGAAAAGGGGGTGCCAATTGGGAAAGAGCATTAATGGGTTTAGGGAGAAGAGAGCAAGGAAACAGGTGGTGATATAGAGAGAGCAGGAAATTCTGTGGGGTGAAGAGAAAGAGGAGGCAATAGAGGTGGGATTCAGAGAGACCTATGAAAATTTACAGTGGTGCACTGAGGACAGAAAGCAGACCAGGGATCTTGGGGTGGGGAGAAAGATGGCAGTCATATGGGGTACAGAGAGTTTCATAGCTTGTGAGTTTCATAGTTTGTGAGTTTCATAGTTACTTGAGATCAAGGCTCCCTCTAAGCTGTGGAGTCCTGTGAGCAAAAATTCTACTTGGTGAGCCCCTGGCATTAAAGTTGTGAGCGAGCGATTTGGCTGCTGCATGAATCAGTTTGCTCTGAAGCCCTCCTTCCTGAGCTAAGACAAAAATCTGTGAGCCAGAGGCTAAAAAACTGTGAGTTAGCTCACACTAACTCAGCTTAGAGGGAACACTGCTTGAGATGCATGCATCTTTCTTTCGAAGTAACGTTGCTGTATGCCAGATGCATATGGGCTGCATAACTTCCTCTGTGAGTATATCCTTATCTGCAAAGCATCTTGCTTGTTTAGAGCAGTTTGTCATAAGCAGGTAGAAGATCATAAAACCTAACATGACCATCTGTATTCAACTTATTGCTGACTGTGACATGTTTTGTGCATGTCCGGTGCCAGAGTTTACGAGATGTTGGGGGATCTTTGATCAGATCTTTTGCTGTGTAAATGCAAGCTCAAAAACAAAATGAAAAAGCCAGGGTGGGGGATGGGAAAATCTGGATCAGGGGGGCTGCACCTGCTGAAATGGAGAGGGGGCTAATTTCCCACCTGTGTTCGCCCAAGAGAAATTGTCCCCACCGCCACCCCTCAGCTGCTATTAGATCTGCAGAGGAAAAGGGATATCTTTTTCTTTTTCAGACCTAATAACTAGGTTTGGTAGAGCGGTAATGGCACAGGAGGAAAATGTTAACCTCCAGTGGCGCAGGCTTGATTGAAATCTCTCACTTATACATACACACACATACACATTCAGAAACATTGGTTTTAATAAAGGTTTGGAGGAACCTGATCTCCCAACTCCTCTCCGGTTGTACCTTAAAATGCACATCTATACTTGAACATTGTGGAAGAAGAAGTTTCTGTTGGTTACAAGGCTGTGATAGAGAAGCCCACCTGGAAATGAAGCATCCCCACCTTACGAGGCCGGCTGGCTATGGCAGCTCTTCCTTTGGGGCTCAGATGAGTGCTAATTCATTCTTGTGTTGCACCTAGGGCTGATAATGTAGTTTCTGTTCTGATACAAATAATCTTGGGATGAAGTAACATTTCAGCTCTAAAGTCCTGTGATTGATTTCCAGTATGCTATTTATCATAGCACATATAACGCTAATAACATCCATTTTTCTTTTCTGCAGGTGGCGATTTACATTTTACCTGTATATGTTCATTTATGGAGTCCGTCTGCTGAAGCAGGTTAGAGGCTTTGTCCTTCACTTTGTCTACAATTAATTGTTCATGGCATTGGTACTAGTATGAATCTTATGGTGTCTGCATTTTCAGGCACTTTGTATGTACACACTGCTATAAAAATGTTCAGCCTTTTTTGTGGACAGTTTTAGCGTGAACAGTTTTAGCGTTTTAGCTGCACATGTTTTCAGTAAATGCTCCCTTGGGTCAGGTTGCCATGTGTGAAGACCATGAGACAAGATTAGTTGTAATGTTGCTTCATGGTTTCCTATTGTAGAACAAAGTTTGCGTCCAGTGGCACCTTTAAGATCAACAACGTTTTACTCATGGGTATAAGCTTTCATGTGCATGCACAGTTCATCAGATACCTGACGAAGTGTTCTTGCACACATAAGCTTATACTGCGAGTAAAACGTTGTTGGTCTTAAAGGTGCCACTGGACTCAGATTTTGTTCTGCTGCTCCAGTCTAACTCAGCTACCCCACCTGAATCTGGTTTCTTACTGTGTTCATCCTACACTGGCCTTCCTAATTTTCCTTGTCCATGTTAGTTTTCCTGATTTATCCTATTTCCCTTCTGATACATGCACCACATCTCCCACTCATGCAGCTCCCTTGCTGTTTAGTGTGACACTGTAGCCGCTGTCCTATCCACAGTGAACATAGGAGTGTCTGTGTGTGGCACTGGTTTACACCTGTGTTTATAACCTGCTTTGTGGTACTCTTGATGGTGGGAAAGGCGAAGTATAAATGTTTTTAAGAATCCCTGCATCAGGATGAATGGGGTGGTTCTTAGCTGGCTGGTTGAAATCCTAAAGGCTGTTTTTTAGACCAAACAAAAACTCATAGAAGCTTGAGGATTTATATCCTACTTCTTGACTGCTTTGTTGGAAAGAAGTTACAAGCAGTGGCCAGAGAGGATTCTGTACAGAGTCTGGACGATCTTCTGTGTTACCAACAATAAATTCCTCTTATCATAATATGGAGATGAGTATGCCTAAAGTATAATCTGGGCATGAAACCAGATAACAATTCTGCGTGTGTAGAGGACACCTCAAGTGAGCATTACTCCATTTGAGCTTTTTGTCTGCAAGAATGTAGATAGCAGACCGGTGTTTAAAAAAGAAAGGTAACACAGCCTCAGATAGCCCTCAAAAACCATGAAATGGAGCTGGAAGTCATTGTCTTTAGAAGACAAAATCAACAAGCGTCACCTTTTCAAAGTATTTAGTGTTTGCTGCTTTTATTTATCTATCTAATGCTTGAAACGTTGCCTGTCCAGCATGCTTTGGGGCAGCGGTCCCCAGCCTTTTTGATCCTGCGGGTACCACAGGAATTCTGAGACAGAGTGGGGAGCACAACCACAAAATGGTCACTACAGGAGGCGGGATGCTACCACAGAATGTCAGGGACTGAGATCATGCATGAGTCACCTTTTCAAAGTATTTAGTGTTTGCGGCTTTTATTTATCTATCTAATGCTTGAAACGTTGCCTGTCCAGCATGCTTTGGGGCAGCGGTCCCCAGCCTTTTTGATCCTGCGGGTACCACAGGAATTCTGAGACAGAGTGGGGAGCACAACCACAAAATGGTCACTACAGGAGGCGAGATGCAACCACAGAATGTCAGGGACTGAGATCATGCATGAGTATAATAGTAGCTCTTCAACATTACTGGCAGAAGCTCTGTTTGACAGGAGGCCTTTTAAAAGGAACATATTGTTGAGAAATGTATTCTTGCATACGCACAGCTTACCTTCACTCATGCGGAGAAGATCCTTGTGTTACGGTAGCAGCAGCTGCTGGAGCAACTTTTTAATAATCTGAACAGCCAATCAGAAGACTTGCTGGGGAAATGCCCCACCCGGCCCCTCCCACATTCTAAAAGCACTTGGAGGGCACCAGAAAAGCAGGTGCCATGGTGCTTATGGGCACCACATTGGGGACCCCCATTTTAAAATATTATATTAGGGATATATTTTTCATACTCAACTATGGCTTTCTGGATGTATGTAGAACTTAACGTGAGCCAGCCTGGAGGTGTCTTTTGCCTGTTATCACCTTAGGCCATCCTGTCAGTAGCAGCATGATCACATATAAAAACATGCCAGAAATGTTTAGCTTTCCATATGTGCAGGAACCAAAAGCACCTGGGAAAACATCACATTACTTGAAAGGGCCATCATGGTCAGGTGTATTGCCTGTGACAAACATACAGCAATTGTCAAAGCAGAATTTTATTTAAGCATCGCACCTGCCGTTTGCAAAATACGTTTTAAAGTCTGACATAAGTAGCAATTTGATGAATGGAAATTATCCATTTTTTCCATGTATTCTGTGCAGACTAATTGTTGCTTGCCCAGGCTTCACACTTGTGAAATTAAATGGGGAGAGAATGGATGTTGGTGTGCTGTGCAACGACTCTTTTTTGGTTTCCTATCACTATTGCAGCAAGTGTTGTGTAGCATCAGAGATTTCTTAAGCAGATGTTTCTTTGCAGTCGCCTTTGAAGAGAATGTCCTGTTTTGCGTCATCTGTCAGATTACCGTTTCACAATATTAATGGTGAAGCTAAGCTTTGCATGCTTGTACAGTTTTCACAGGCTCCTAGTCTTTAAATAGAAAAAAGGCTTAGTTTCTCTGGAAGGAGTCCCATTCATTCTGCATGCAATTTGTCTGTTTAATGAACTAGAGAGCTTCTAGAAGTGAAGAGGGGCTCAGACCCCCATCATGTAAAGAATTTTCCTAAAGCATCCGCAATGTCCAACCCTCCACACTTGATTCAGAACACTCCATATTAAAAAAACCCAGTTCCCCTGTTGGGGGGATTAAAAGTGATGGGGGGCAGGCAGTTTCAGCACCATACCCAGCATAAGTCAGGCATCAGGATGTGATTGGGAAAAGGAAATACTGTGAGCTTTGACACAGAGCACTTCCCTCCTTGATTTCCTTTTTGCTGCCGGCTCAACCACAGTTTCATAGAATCAGAGTTGGAAGGGGCCATACAGACCACCTAGTCCAACGCTTGATCAAAGTTTGGCCAGCCACAACACGCCAACGGGATTACATATCAAGGTCAGTGTTGGCGAGGTAGTGTGAAAGGCCTATGCAAGATGTGTTCCTCCCCTTTCTCCCAAAAAATCTGGCATTATCTAGAGCAGTGGTTCTCAACTGGTGGTACATGGTGGGACACAGATATAGCCTAAATGGGACACAGGATTTTCGCAACCATTATTAAGAATTCTTTCTCTTGTCCACCTGCCAGTGTGATGCCCAGTCTCCAGTTGACTGTGCTGTCCATCTGTGACCTTTTGGCATGCTAACAATAATCTTGGATTCTTGGTGTTTCTCCTAATCCCCCACTCCCCCTGCAAGTGTTGTTGGTGTGTCCCTTTCTGCTCACCCTACCTGCCTGGGATTATTCATTGTGTTTCTGTAATTTTTACTTATTTATCATGTAAATGATAAATGTAATAACAGAATGCTTGTAATGGCCTTCTTGGGAAAAGTTATTCTTTTTTTCCATCACAGTGTGCACCATGTTCTTGGATAGAATGGTTGGCGGGACATAAGATTGGGAAGGTTGAGAACCACTGAAAGCATCTCTAGAGTGTTGGTAAAAGAAAGAGCCGAGACTGGGTAGACCATAGGAGTATTCCTTTTCCCAAATACATCCTTATTCCACTGTGCCCATCAGATTGACTAGCATTAAATGATGTCAAACAACTTTCTCTATTTTCCCTCCTCCAGTCCTTCCAGTCCCTTCCTGACCTGAAATTATGCCTTACCTTTATGGAAATGCAAACTGTTTATGCCTTCAGTAATATACAAGGCTGATGAGATATCCAGTATGTAATTCCATAAAGGTTAGAGCATAACAACATCCGTGCACAATTGCCTGCATCATCTCATCCACAGAAAGATTTTAAGGGAACCTTTTGACGCAAAAGTCTCTTCTGCCCTCTTTAAAACCTACCGCTTGTGTGTGGTTCCCTGGAAACACTAATCTTACTGGCTTTTATTTTGTTGGACACATATCCTAATAATTTAAAATCACCACAAATAAAATACAATGTGTCTGCTGCTAGGCAAAGTAAGAAAAGAGGAGATTGCAGCCATGAGATTGTGGTTATAATTTATAACCTACCAGTTATACAAGACAGAAGCATCAGGTGGTGAGTCCAGAGATGGTGGAGAGGACTGTATTGCAACAGATTGCACTGTATTCTTGTAGAAAACAATAAGAAACCTCCCTGCATCAAAAAAACTAGTCTACCAGGGAATGTCCCTGATATGCTGCCTTCTGTCTTTTCTTGTTGAGAGAGATGTTCTCCCTTGCCCCCCCAAAAAAATTGGGTGCATATATGGGGTTGAACATCAAAGAACCCCATCGTGTTTCAGCCAAACCATTCATGACCTCTGCAAGGAACCCATTTGAGAAGTTTCTTTCCTTATGTTATTTATTAATTTCCTTATACCAAGCCTTTCTTTCTGAGATTCCTGTTGAATTACAAAATATAAAAACAATGCAATTCTGTACCACAGATTATCCAATAAACAGTGCAATGGTACTAGGATTACAGAACTGACCAACAGAATGGAGGGAGAAAGAGACGCACTACAGACTCAGTTTGCTTTCCCCCACAACCTCTGTGACATTCCCCTCCCCCTTTCTTCATGGCAATATGTCTTAAGTTTCCTACTTGTTTCTTAGTGAAATGGGGGGGGGGTCTAGGGTTGCCAGCTCTGAGTTGGGAAATACCTGAATATTTCGGAGGTGGAGCCTGAGGAGGGCGGGGTTTGGGGAGGGGAGGGACTTCAATGTAGTATAATGCCTTAATAGTCCACCTTCCAAAGTGGCCATTTTCTCCAGGTGAACTTATTTCTGTCACCTGGAGATCAGTTATAATCCAAGGAGTTCTCTAGCCACCACCTAGAGATTTAATTAAACAAAAAATGAAACCCGTGCAAAAATAACAAAAAACATTCAATAAACAATATAATGATATGAACTTATATGTGGTGTAGTTATATATATATCGTTCAGAAATAGTCCAGGTCAAATTTCTCAAACAGTGAAAAGTTCAAACATCAATATTTATAATTCCTCTTTGCAAAACTCATCTTGCAGTCCCGAGGCCAGCAATGGCACTCAGAGATGTTACCGGACCAGAGCATACAAGAACTTAACGAAAAAGAAAATCTACGAGAAAAATCCAGCAATTAAACAAACAGTGAGTTCAGTGGCAAAAAGAAAGACATATATTAAAAGGGTGGTGGAAGAAATCGGCACAGCGAATTGGCTTAGCTTCAAAGAGGCAAGGGGGGGGGGACTCGCGGAGGAAGAACGGTACCCGGTAGCGAAATTGCAGCGTAGAAGTTTCCCAGATCCAGGCGATTAACACCCAATTCCAAGCGGAATACATCTGAGCTAATCATTTACAACATAGAAAATATCTCAGAACTTTTATACAACTTTACCTAAGTACAAACAATGTCTCAGTGTGGGAGTAAAATGGCGTCCAGAGGCAGAGGCTCTACAGGAAATGCCAGCACAGCATCACCAGTCACAGGACTGGAAAATACTAGCGAGTTAGCTACTGCAATTTCTGAAGCCATGCGCCCTCTGCTGGACCAGCTTCCAACCTCAATCAAAAATTTGATACTTTACAGAAAGAGCGCAAGGAAACTGCAGTCAAATCAAAGAAGTCAGCCAAAAAGATTTAAAAAGGTTGAAGTTAAGACCAAAGAAATAGACTAAAGAATGGACAAGGTGGAAAAAGAAAGAACTTCTGAAAAGCAACAACTTCATCAGCTACGTCTTGAGATTTCAAGGGGTGCCAGAGAAAAAAGATGAGAACTTAAAAGCGAAGCAGTGGCCCCCTTAATCAAAAGCAAACCTGAATTAATACAAGCAGACATTGATATGATCTACAGAACCTATTCAGAGTTTGTAAAAAAAAAATAATCCAGGGGAAATGTTTGTGAAATTTGCAAAAAGATCAATAAAAGACTCAATACTCAAAGCATCTACAGCAAGAACAGTCAAAATTCAAGAAGAGTAAATAAAAATATTGAAAGATGTTCCATATGAAATACACAAGAAAAGGAAGCAGTATAGAAATATTACAGCATTCCTCCAAAAGAACAATGTCCAATACAGATGGATTTTTCCAGAAGGACTTATATTCAACTTTATGAAAAAGAAAGCAGAACTCTTTCTTAAACAACAACAATCTTCAACCGAACAAAGAAACGGAGCAGGGGAAGAGAAGGCAACGGGAGAAAACAGCGAACGACAGAAATCCGATACGGATAGTTCATCTTCTGCGGCTGCTTCCGTGTCTGGTCCAATGACAATAGCTATAAAGT